TACCCATGAACCTCCAAGTAAACTGGCTCAAGTCACGGGAGCCATGCTTTTCGGTGCGAAGATGTGGTGCAGAGTTGTAACAGCTCTCGGAAGCTTCTGTCAAGCAGCCGTTGATGCGCTTCGAGTCCTTGATGTCTTGCAGCATCACCTGACAATTTGCAGGGTCGACGGATTTGGAGTAGGGTGTGGCTTGGGAGCTTAGGGCACTTTTGTATACACTGCACCCAGCCGCGCTGCTTCCTGAAAACCTAAGAGCATGGTGCCTCGCAGTGGACAAGCGCCGCGTCGCCGAACCTGCTGATAGCTGTCGTTGGCAGAAATATTTCGGTAGCCAACTTGAATTGGAACAACGCCTTTAATCTCCGATCGTCTGAGATATGCGATGCCGAGATGTGAGGATAGGTCATACGTGGTATTTTTAGGAATAACATTCAACAGTGTACTTGCCCTTGGCAACTCGGCACGCCTTTCTGGGGCTAGAAGCCGCAAGTAATGAATGTAGCTGACGGGGCAAGAGTGGCCGGATAGAGTCTGGCAGCAATGCCGGGGCAAAATCTCTCACCGAGGAAGAAGGCTTTCTCCAGCATCCAGCACGCAGGCTCTGGCAAGCTTACAGGAGTCCGACTTCCGAAACAAACTCCCCGAAGCCCTAATCTCTTCAATCTCCTATATAAGGTCCTACTCCCGAACGGAGCCACACCCAAGCACTGCAAACCCCCTCCCTGAAGCATCAGACTGAACATATAATATAGACGGGTCAGTACTACGATTCAATGCACATCTCTTGTAAGCCGGGCTGTGGAACTTCCGGACAAAGAAGTGCTTCAAAAATGGGACTCCATGATAAGCCCAAATACTGGAATCCTAACCATAAAGGCTCACATACACCAGGACCCGCAACTCAGCCTGGTCTTCAGTAGCTCCAGATTTTGCATCTCCCTTTCAGCGTGGTAGGTGGGATTGGCCAGAAGCCGGTCTGCCAGCATCTCCTCGATATCTGCTTCAAGGCTTTCCCGTAGGGTCTTTCATTCAAGTTTTCATGCACAGGCATGCGCACACAGGCCTACAGTACTACAGGCGTACATATGCACTTACATCTGTTAGGCACAGGGGCAGATGGGTATACGACGTATCATAATACCTCTAAACAGCCCAAGCCGACTGGAAGGGGATCTCAGGGCACCTACGCACCCGCTGCCAACTGAAACGTGCACAGTTAAGCGCAGTCCTTGTATTCCTTTATGAACATCTCCTGCATAGGGGGGCTTTCGACGAATGATTCCGGGAGCATCAATAGCTCGGCATCAGCAACAGTTCGGGACAAAACCCGACCTTGTCAACCTGCGAATGATTCCTCCTGGAGTTAAGTCTTGAGTGCTCGTTAACGGTTGTTAAGGCCTCTGCCGTAGGTTTGTGAAACCTTGCCAATGTGCAGCCTCCAAACGACGTGACACGATCCAGACTGGCAGAAAAGCAGAAGACATCCACTTAACGAACTGGCCGCTGACTCAGGCAGCGGAACTTGCACCTCCAAGATCATCTAATGCAGTAAAACCCGCTTCCTTCAGGACCCTAAGCAGTAGGATCTGCAGCAAGGCAGTCAAAGGCTTGCATCGATCCTATGCATTCCCCACACCTTGGAGCCATAGATGCCCACGAGCAGTGACACCACATCCTGCCAGGTATCAGGCTACCCTGATGATTTAGTAAACGCAATCGTTCTGGAAGCAGTATAACTAGACGCGAAGGTTCCCATCCAACGAACCGATTCCGTACCCGGCTGCGAGGAAACCCGGCCCTCCAAATGCCAATTCCTTTCACGCATCCGCTGTTGCCTTGCCCTTCTGTAGTCTGTGTGTGTGCGTGCCCATCCAATCCATCCATCCATCCATCCATCCATACATACATACATACATACATACATACATGTTCAAGTAAGTATGTAATGTACATATGCATATATATGTATATACATGGTACACTTCTCGATGTGTGCGTGTCATCCATATATATATATACACATACATACACACATATGATATATATATATACATATATATATACATACATACATACATACATAAATACATATATATATATATGTGCACATACATACGTACATATAATGCACATTATGGATGGAAGACCATCTGTTCGTAGGGAAAGCAGGGGGTCGAAAGACGTGAGCACTTAGACCTCAGCTGCGCCTGCGCACGTCGGTGTCGGGAAGGCTTCCTTATGATTCAGGCATGCTCCGCAGCTTTCACGACTCCTTCAATACGGAAATACAGCACATTTGGACATATTTGAAACCATTCAGGGATGGGAGCACTCGAATATTGCAGCAAGTGCTCTGCCCATGTGCAAATTCTGTCAACACTGCAGAATTTAGTGGCCCTTTGCAGTAGTGCTGACGTAGGGCGTGCAGTATGCGCAGGACGGTCTGAGCATTTTTTTGCGCCTGCGCTACTAAACGGAACGCGTTATGCTCCCCTCAAGCAGGGCTACGAAGTTGGGAAGCTGTCCCGATGGTTTTACGTATCGATTCATTGGGTCTTGGGAGCCCCTCAACAAAAGCCGGACTGAAGCCCGGCTGCGTGGACACAACGCCGACTTCCTTACAGCGAGCGGTGTTTGTGGGGCCGTTTGAAAACATGCAAGCTCTGTCTCGCCCCTCCCGGAGTCTTGGCAAGCGGCTGCGGATCCACATCGAAGGGGTCAGGGGTCCAGCAGTCAGGATTTTCCTCATCATCGCCTGAGACGACGGCCCTCTGCCCTAAACAAAGCCCTACCCTTCCGATGGTCTGGGGCGTGATTCCATCTTCGGAGAGAGGATATCCAGGATGGGGGTCGGTGTGGCAACTACTTTGGTGGCCCTGTGGCTGTGGTGGTCGTTATCGTTGCTGTTGCTACACTATGGCTGCTGCTATGTTTTGGAAAAGGATATAGTCAGACGGTGCCTCCTGCACAGGAGCTCGCTAAGTCCTTGCGAGATTCTGCGCCAGTTCTAGTGCCGGAAGTTTCACGAAGAGTTTTCGCTGCAACAAGGAATCGGGGATTCAGCTTGTCTGGGTCACCTCATCTTTGACATTCCGATACTAGTTCGTGTCACGAGCCATGGGCTGGAAGAAGGGCATCTTGACATTCTGGAGGCGGAACCACATCACCCACCTTTCTCCAAGACACTGGCTTCGAAGTCCTCACCTTCAAAAGGAAGCATCGCATGCCAGTGGCGGAATGTTTCAGCAGCTACCACAGCATCTTCAGACTCTAGAGTGCAATTGAAGAAACGCCTTGGAGCCTGTATCGTTCAGCGGGTTAGCCCTAAACCGCAAGCTAAAGCGACCGACGGAGTGTCAGCCATCCGTCAGTGGGCATGAGAACACTGAAAGGATCCATGGTCCGTACAGGTCTTAAGCATGGCCGCAATGTTCCCTATTGTTACTGATACAGAAGATTACCAGGTCTTACAAGCTCTCTTGAACCTGCTTCCTCAAGCTACCTGATCATTAAGCAGGTGCACTTCGAACGACGCTGCCGACCCAACCTGTGAAGTCCGGCACTTCGTTCTGTGCCGGCAAGGCTGGCTGGCCAGCCTATGCCCCGAAGGCCAAGTACAGGGATTCGAGTTTAGGGTTTCAAGGTTTATAGGGACTTCCAAAGCTCTTCAGAATGTTGGGAGTTCAGGGTTTCTCGGGGGGGCTTAGGGTCCCTCCGAGAAACAACCCTTTAGTATAGTGACGTAGTCTGTTGGGAACTCCAGGAAGGATGTTTGAAAAAATGCCCATGTCGAGTTCAGGGTATAGCGGGAAACTGAGAAGATATGATCCGCGACGCTAGGTTCGTTCCGTGCAATTCTTGAGGTGACTCCCTGTTTCGGGGCCCTCGCCGGGGTCGCAAACAGTCACTCTACCACCCCAAAACCTACAGAATATCTCAATCCTCAACGTACTGCGGCTGCTGCTGCTACTACTGCTACGACTAGTACGAGTACTAGTATTGCCTGTAGCACTGGTAGTACTAGTAATGCCTGTTGTACAAAAAAATCCTAATAGTACTAGCAGTACTTGTAGTGCTAAAAGTACTAATGGTACTGGTGGTAGTAGTTATGGTGGTGGTGGTGGTGGTGGTGGTCGTCGTCGTCGTAGTAGTATTAGTAATTAGTAATACAATGGCCACCACCTTGATAGCGGCAACAAGACATATACTCATCGTCTTCAAAAACTCGAAACGGAAGCCTTGACGACAAAAAGTTGCAAACACAGCACCTATTCCCCAAAGCCTTGACACTAACCTCTAAGCCGCCAAAGTCTCGAAGCCTAACAAAGCCCTTCCAGAACTCCTTAAAGGAGCTCCTATAAGAACCTGAACACCGCAAGACCCCAGGAAGCCTGGAGCTTCGCCTTCTTCGAGGCGGAAGCGAGCGCCTCGCGAGCTCAGGGCGTTCTAAGGTCCTGTTGTGCCTGAAAACTTTGAGGGGTTCAAACACGGCTTCAGGGTTTAGGGCTTTTAGGGTTTAGGGTTTAGGGCTTCGGGGTTGTAAAACTTCATAGTAAGTTGCCCCAAGATCAAACGAAGGTAGAAGCCCCGGAGCCCTCAAAAGCCAACCCCCCAGTCTCCCAGGCTCCCATGTGTCCCAGAGATGACCGGCCTCCGCTCCCTGCTGGAGCTCCTTCCGCTCTTCTTAAGTCATAAAAAAAGTTACCCTAATAGAACTATAGAACTATAGTAAGTTACCATAGAAAATTGAAGTAAGTTACCATGATAAAGGCTCCAGATACTTTTGTTTTCATGTATCATGGAAGCTCTGCAGTTCTCTTGTTTCAAGGAGGCCAAGGTAAGTTAACGAACAGGTATTTCACAGGATTGTTTTAGGTTGGAAGGAAAGGAAAGTAAGTAACCACAGCAAGGGTTTTTACATGATTTTAGAACGCTTCAGGCAAACTGATATAAGTTCCCACAACAAAGGCTCTATGGAGTCTGTATGAGGTCTTAGCGCAGCTTTGCCGCTGTAAAGATCGACAAAGGTTTCCCTTGGGCTTCAAGGAATTTAAATTATCAGAAACAGGAGTTAATGGGGCTTCAAGGAAGTAACCGGTTGAGTTGCCTAAGCAAGGATTTTACCTGGACCAAAACAAGGGCTTATGAGATGTTCAGGAAGTCAGCTCAAGAAACCGTAGCTGGGATGCAATTACAGAGTGAGTGGTTTGATCCGTCGCTCAGCGTGTAGGACGCTCCGAACGGAAATCTTGCTCACGACCGCTGGTTGGTGCCCTCCGCACTCTCGAACCCTCGACCCTAATCTCTAAACCCTGCAGCTTAATCGAGCGCTATAGCCGGTGCCCGTGGTCCTGTTGCAGCTCCTTAGCTGCTCTGAAAACCGTTGCCAAGCAGGCCTTCGACGGCATTAGAGGGACACGATGTTCATACAAATCACAAGTCCAACCCCCACCTCCCCCCCCACCCCGGCAGCGGATCGACCCTGATGTCTACAGCTCCGCAGCTGCCATCAGTACCATGCCGTGCCCGCAGTGAAAACCAATACCAGCCAAGAGTCCGTGTCCTCTGTCAAGGCCTCTCGGCTCATGACACAATTCTTTGGGGCTTCGGGGGCCAAAACACCTGTGTCAAGGCCCCTAGAGTCATGATGCCCCGAACCTGAGTCTGCCTGCTGACTGCCTGAAATTCTGCTTTTAATGCCACCGAATAGCACTACATAAGCAGGTGTGTTTGAAGTGGCTGCCGCGACGTGAACAACCCTTCGCTACGACCCGGGCCGTGATGATGCAACGGACGGTGTCTTTGCGTCTTTTGAGGTACTCGCGGATGGGCGCCGACCTGGGAAAGAATTCATCTGCTGCAACATGGCTCTAACTGAGCCGTCGTTGCTGTTCTTTGCACCGATTTTTTACTGATTTAAGCAGCTATAGCTCAAGCCTACGTAAGCCCGAAGTTGGAAAGCCATTCTCTGACTTTTGCGGGGCACCAGACCCTGAAACTCAACTGACAACCCCCCCCCCGCCTTTCTAGCAACCCTGGAAAAACCACTGCTGAGCACGGCACACGCCATCCAGAAGAAGCCCCCTTGGGTCGATCAGCCGCAAAGCCTCCGAGTGGCAAGATCTGGGTAATCCAGTTTTGTTCTTTTCTATCCGGGCTTCACCATTACCTCATTACGGAGTGTTGGTTTTTCTAGGGAGTTTGCGAAACCGAAGGATGAGCCCAAAGCAGGCAAAGCTTCGGCACGAA